TCCACCTCCAACATCATGCTCATCCAATGCACTTCTCTCTCAGGGTGTTTACGATCATTGTCACTATCAAGGAATCATACGAGGCATGAAGGATTCTCGCGTTGTCCTGAATACCTGTTCAGGGTTGAGGTAAGATAACCCTGCTGGTGTATAACTGTATTTAGTGTTTCAAAATTTACATCTGCACTCGGTAAATTAGATGCTATTTACATCTTACACATGTGAAGAAAAAGAGCTCGTTATGATAACCAGGATATTTACATAGCATTTATGTTTTATTAGAAGGGTACAGAATACGCATGTCTTTGCATCTTGATATTTGTTTTGTTTATGGCTTGCAGATAGAAGCAAAGGTTTGACGTTTTCATGTTTCTTCTGAATTAATACACAAGGAACTTTTCAATTGCATGTCTTAAAAACCAACACCAAGGCAATTAGAACAGCTAAAAAAAGTCAACATCAAAGTAGGCCAACGAGAACCCTAAGTAGAAATACGTAAACTGTTTTAGCAGCGGGAAAACGTGAGTAGACCAATCCTAATTGATTTTAGTTCTCCATTTGATTGGTTGACTGGTTAGTTGGTGACGGTTTTCTGTACCAATCGGCGGTACATTGTAGAAAAGGAAATTCAAGAAAATGCTGGATTGCTTCCGTATATATTTAAATTGTCTTGAAATGTAAATGACAAATATCAATTTTTGCTCTTAGAGGGTTAATAGCTGATGGCAATGAAACCTTTCACATTGTACCAGAGACGGGACAGGAGGCAAGTGTTTACCTGAAATAAGTGTAATTACATCATAGAATTACGACGAGCACACAAAAAATATTCATGCCTGAACCTTCCTATGCACAATATTTTCAATATTTGCTTTTATATATATTATTTAACGCCATTGTTAAATGTTACTTTTCACGATTCACCTCTATAGTCGCTAGTTTTTAGCCATATAAAATTTTACGCTCAAACTTTGCTTCCATTTTTCTTTGATTTATTCAAAACTGCCATTGTATTAAATTGCAGGAAAATGGAACTCACAGAGTCAGTAGAGACCAACAACGAAAAAGGTCAATATTACAGTAACCCATAAAGAATCCAAAGTACAAATAAGTAAACTGTTTTAGTTGCGGGAAAACGTGAGCGAACCAATCGTTCTAGATTAAATTTCTCCATTTAATTGGTTGATTGGTTAGTTGGTGCTGGTTTTCTTTACCAATCGCACAGCATAAAGAAGGGAATTCAAGAAAATGCTGGATTGCTTCCGTATCTATTAAAAGTGTCTAGATATATAAATAACAAATGTCAATTTTTGTTTTTAGAGGCTTAATAGATGATGGCGATGAAACCTTTTACATTCTACCAGAGACTGGACATGAGGCAAGTGTTTAACTGAAACAAGTGTACTTACATCGTAGAATTACGACGAAATTAAGTATTGAAAAAAGAAATTTCATGCCTAAACTTTCCAAAACACAATATTTTCAATATTTGCTTTTTATATATATTATTTGAAACAACTTTTCAATTTTATTCTGCACTATTGACCTCTACGGTAGGTAGTTCTTAGTCATATAAAACTTTCAGCTCAATGTTTGCTTCTATTTTTCTTTGTTTCATCCAAAACCACTATTGTTTCAAATTGCAGGGAGATGGAACGCACAGAGTCAGTGGAACCCGGCGACGAAAGAGGTCAACAGACACTAGGCAAGTGTCAAAATTTGCTTCTGTTGTTCTTTGTTTGATTTAAAACCACTATTGTACGAAATTGTAGGAAAAAGGAACTCACAGAGTCAGTAGAGCACAACGACGATAAAAGTCAATATTACAGTGACCCAACGAAAATACAAAGTTCAAATGAGTAAACTGTTTTAGGCGCGGGAAAATGTGACTGATCCAATCGTAATTGATTGAAGATCTCCACTTGATTGACTGGTTAGTGGGTGCTGGTTTTCTGTACTAATCGCACAGTTTAGAAAAGGAAATTAAAGAAAATGCTAGATTGCTTGCGTATCCATTGAACGAGTGTTGATATATAAATAAGAGATTTCACTTTTTGTTCTTAGAGGGTTAATAGGTGATGGTCATGAAAGCTTTTACATCGTACCAGTTACTGGACATGAGGCAAGTGTTTCTGACCGAAAAATTGTAATTACATGGTATAACTACGACGAATTATAAGAAACATTTCTTGTCTGAACTTTCTTATACAGAATATTTTCAAAATTTGCTTTTTCATGTATATTATTTGAGGCCGTTGTTTAAATTTACTCTTCACTATTGACTTTTGTGGTAGCTAGGTTTTTGTCATATAATACTGTAAGCTCAAAATTTGCTTCCGTAGTTTTTTTTGCTTATTAAAAACAACTATTGTTTCAAATTGCAGGAAAATGAAAC